TTTTAACATTTTCTAATGGTGGTGTGCCTCGTGATTTTTTTCATGAAAAAAGTGTGCCTTTGCACAAAAAAGGTTGAAAAACACTGATCTACACCATCCAGCCTCTAAAAAAGAGAATCCACCAATCTCTTAAGTCCTAAACAGCTGTTGTCAGTAGAATTTTTCCTGGATATTCAACCCAAATCCCTTCCTTCTAATTGAAATCCACTGTTTCTTTTTCCTATCTTCTGAAATAAATTTTAACAATTCTGCCCCACCTTCTACATGATAGCCTTTCAGAAGCTTAAGGACAACTGCCATGTCTCCTTACAGTCTTCTCCAGGCTAAGCACACTCAACCCCGCCAAACATTTATCCCAAGTTTTCTTTTTCAAAAGGCCCCTATCATTTTGGTTCCTCTCCTCTGCATGCCCTCTATTTTGATAACTTCTTCTCTAAATTATAGTGCCCAGAATTGGATACCGTATTCTTGGTACAGTCAAACCCAGACAGAAAAGAGAGGAATTGTGAACTTTTCTTGAGCTGTATCTATTCTGTTTTATACCAGTACTGGTTTTATGTAGTTTTCTGTGTGAACTTTTAATTGGGAATGCCAGGAACCAAACTGAGAAGTGTATGCTTAGAGAACATGTTGCCTGACGGTAATCTATGGATCATTTTCAAAATTGTGGGTTTTTTATTTATTCAATTGGGAAAAGTTTAAATATGATATAAAACTTACTGTGTCCAAATGTTGTTTATATGAAATAATTGTGATCACCCAGTACACAAATATGTATTTGTGACTGTAGGGTTGTATTTTTTACCATCTATTGTTTCCTATTGCCACCCAACTATCCACTTACCCAGTAAATCTTGGAGGAGAGTGAGAAATTCCCAGAAAAAATCATTCATGAGATTCTATTTCATATGCAGAACTATTATTAAAGATGTAGTAAGTTAAAACATTCAATTTTCTTCAAAAAAAATCAAAGGGGAAAAAAAAGCAATAGAGCATGAGATGATCTTCCCTTGAATTAAAGAGGATGCACAACAAACACAGTTGTATCAATAAGGCAACAGGATGAACTTAAATTATACATGGCAACATGTGTTCTGTATCAGCTTGGATACTGGACCTCGTTCTTAATGGTTGCTGCTTTGATTTTTGAAATTAAGCTAATAGCTTGAGACAACAAGCGTTGAAGGACAAGCTGATCATTATTTAATTTGAATTGCCAGAGATTTTGAGAAATAATTTATCATTTGTCTCCCATTATTAATAAGGATCTGATGCAGCAGAGACTTGAGAGGCTCTGACATTTTAATAGCTCAGTGTTTGTGTGTGTGTGTGTGTGTGTATGTGTGTGCGTGCATGTGCGCACGCTTGTGTTAACTTGGAAGTATTTCAGCTAATGATGTCTTTCTTCCTTCTCTGACTCATGTTTCTTTCACCAACCATTGACATTTTAGGGATGTGGCTTCTGAATCTGACAATAACATCAGGCAGATAAACCAGGAGGCTGCCCACCGAAGGTTTCGATCAAGGAGACACATTAGTGAGGATTTGGACCCTGAGCCCCTGGACAGTGTTGATGTCCCTGAAGTACGTGCAGGATTTGAAACTGATCTTTTAATAGTTTTGGCCAACTGAATGTACTCACTTGTTTATTTATTACCTTATTAAATTTTCTGTACCACCCTGGTTTCTCATGACTTAAGCCAAAATGACCCTTTAAAATGGCTTAATTTGGACTCGTAGTTTTCAAATATAAATTTGTACCACAAGTAGGGCTGAAATCAGGGGTGGGTTGCTGCCAGTTTTACTACTGGTTCACAAACCTCGCGCTGTGTGTGTGTGCCCTGTTCAATGTAAATTGTTCTTCGCGCATATGCAAATAAATAAATAAGAAATAAATTAAACTCTCATAGTTTCCTTGATTTCTATCTATGGCTATGAAAAGGAGGATGACAACTTTTCATCCTTTGTAAGAACCCTGCTTTTTTCTACTTGCCAGCTTTATTTTTTTTCTCCCTGTATCCAGGTTGCTCAATCTTTACAACTTTAGCTTCAACTCCCAGAATCCCCCAGTGAGCATGCTTGCTGACTGGGGAATTCTGCGAGTTGAAGACCATATACTGTATCTTAAGGTTGCAAAGGTTGAGAAACAATGTCCTACATAATGCTCAAAGTATAGTATATAGAGAGCCAACGCTGATTGTCAGAGGTTAATTGTGTTCTAAGTCTTACAGGTAAATAATTGATTTTTAGGTTTAACTAGCTGATAACCCAGCGTTGCCAGGGTATTTATTTATAGGAGGGAAATGTCTGAACCAAACGTAATTTCTAATGTTGGATGTTCCCCCTTACCAGAGGGATCCCACTTGTGGTGTACTGTGAAGCCTTTACCATGGCAATTCCATTGTGCTGTACAGTAGAAGCCAGTATGGCAGTACAGCACAACAGGCTGTATCTTAGCAGAACACACACACACGAAGAGTGTTAGGGGTGTCTTACCCCTATAGTATTTTTTTCCAAAGAGTAAATCATCTGTGTACCAAGTTTGGTTGAAATAGTTCTAGGCATTCCATAGTTATGCTGGAAGATACATACACACAGCCTTTTTTTTAATATATAGAAGATTGATGATAGCCAAGCAAATTGTAGAGAAGATTGGTATATTTATTGTTGATACTTTTTTTTCTCAGCCATGGGAAACCATTTCTGAAGAAGTGAACACAAGTGATTCCTTAAGCCTGACCTTGCCCCCTCCGCCTGCTTCCCCTGTTTCTCGGACCAGCCCTCAGGAATTCTCTGAGGAATTGAGTAGAAGACTTCAGATCACTCCTGATTCAAATGGGGAACAACTCTCTTCTATGATTGTAAGAGACTCGAACATTTCTTTTTACTGCTCTGCTAACATGCTCATTGTGATTTGTAGAACTTACTTCAGAGTCAACACAACTGGTAATGGTGTGTGGACATGGTGCTTCAGGCTACAAGGGAGTATTGTTCCTCTTAGTTTCATGGAAATTATTGGACCATTCTACAGTGCATCACGATTATGGTGCAAAGTATACTTACCCTGAGGGCAGTTTCCACAGAATTCAGTGATTTAAGTAAGCCAGTGTTTCTCAACCTTGGCAACTTAGAAAAAAGAATATAGAATAACAGAATTGGAAGGGACCTTGGAGATCTTCTAGTCCAAACCCCTGCCTAAACAGGAAACCCTACACCACTTCATACAAATGGTTATCCAACATCTTTTTAAATACTTCCAGTGTTGGAGCATTCACAACTTCTGAAGGCAAGTTGTTCCACTGATTAATTGTTCTATCTGTCAGGAAATTTCTCTTCAGTTCTAAGTTGCTTCTCTCCTTGATTAGTTTCCACCCATTGCTTCTTGTTATACCCTCAGGTGCTTTGGAGAATAGCTTGACTCCCTCTTCTTTGTGGCAATGTCCCTGAGATATTGGGACAGTGCTATCATGTCTCGCCTTGTCCTTCTTTTCGTTAAACTAGACATACCGAGATCATGCAACTGTTCTTCATATGTTTTAGCCTCCAGTCCCCTAATCATCTTTGTTGTTCTAAACAACTTTAAGTTATATAACTTTAAGATGTATTGTCTTCAACTCCCAGAATTCCCATTCAATCATGGGAGTTGAAGTCCATACATCTTAAATCTGTCACGGTTGTGAAACACTGAATTGAGCAAATAAGTCAAAGCAATTTTGATCCAAATCCAGTGAGCCTACTTTTGAGTAGAGACCATAACTGAGTAATAATATTTATGCTATTAAATATGTGTTGTGATTTCATTGGGAAGAGATTTTATTCTTACTCATAACTTCAGCGAACTTGACAAACAAAGTAGAAGTTCTCTGAATGCTTCATTGAGATAAGTAAATAAACAACAGGCAGGTAGGATTTTATTTCCTTTTTTTAAATTTAATTTTAGATGTTCATATAGTAATTTTAACAGAATCCAATCTCGGTCGGTCACAGGGACCAGAGGTTTAGTCTTCCGAGATTTCATACTGAATTGATGGTCATAAATCTATGAGGAAAACATGAATTAATACTATGTATGAATGAGCCTAATCTTTATTAGAAGATCTTGTAAGCAAAAATTGTAGAGGTAATTCTTTCTTCAGTGCCATTTGCACATTATGATGAACCTCTCCATCCTCAGGGAACTTCTTTAAATAAACCTCTCCTCTCGGAGACCGACCCATCCAGATTGGATCCTGCAATTATTATCCTGGGACAAGTAGATTTATCTTCGTTCATAATTTTAACAATTTATTTTCATATATAAATGTGGCATACAACTGGAAAGTTTATACTAACAACTGTGTATTGGGATAATTATGTTAATGCATCAAAAGTTTGTTTTGCCTGCTTTCTTAACTCAGCAATTGCATTAATAGGCTGGGATGAACATCGACAGTGAGTGTAAGAATTGCACTCGACTGTTTTAATTATAAACAACAGTCAAAAAGTTTTAATTAGTGGTTTTATAACAGTGGTGGGTTTCGGATCCCGGTGCAACCGGTACGGTGCAACCGGGCTGGGCTCCCACCACATGAATGCGCATAGCGCACGCATGCATACTTACAGCCTGCGACACTTCGTGACACTCCAGCTGCTTGGCGGAGTGTCGCGCAGGCGCCGTGCGCTTCGTGCACCTGCATGGAAGTCCCGAAAACTTCAAATACCGGTAAGGAGCGAGGGTGGGCGGGTGGGCCCTCCACAACACCGTACTGGAACAGTACCTGGTGCTCCCAGCAGACAGCGGTAAGCCTTTCCCGGGGCATACCGGTCATAACCCACCACTGTTTTATAGCCAATTGTCATTTATACATTTAACGGGACAGCACATCATCTTGCCCTCTTAGCATTTAAGTAACTGTAATAAGAAACCAAAGTGTGGGAATTTTTTTTTTCAAAACTAAAATGGGGGAAAAAACTCTAAACAAATGTCTCTATCAAATTAAATATTATGAAAGAACAAAAATACGCAATCCATAATGAAGAACAATTTTTTTTAAAAAAAGGAGTATAAAATGTTAAAACAAATACAGTTGAGGAGACTAAAAACATTACCCAAAGTGACATTTGAGTTGATGGGCATAAATATATAAGGAAAACTTGTATTAATACCAATACTACACAGTGTCCATGTATGAGTAAGCCTGTTCTTTATTAGAGGATCTCTTTAACAAAAAATGTTGAGGTAATTATTTCTTCAATGCCATTTCCACATTGTGAATTACACATTGAGCCAATGTTGTGCTTTCCTTGTCCAGTACTTTGCAAGAAAAAAACCTAGCTATTAATAATCTAAGTTGAATTCATTTCTTAATTTTGTACTTTAGGAAGTATTCCATTTTTGCTCTGTTTTGTGTACTTTAGGAAATTCAAACAGCTGTCTTACTGCAGGATTCTCTTTAAAGACATTTTGTGAAATTTTCTCAATTTCATCAACTTTTAATCAAAAACTTTAGACATTGCTACCAAAACTTGCTTATGATTTCAATCTAAAATGATTTAGATTAATATGATGCAGCATGATGGGAAAATTATGCTGTGAGTAAATTATTAATTTATTCCAGCCGTTTCAAAACCATTTCTTTATGATTTGTTGAAATGTCTTTAAAAGGAATTCTTAAGCATTCTTAGTTTCATTAAGTTTCCTCTCTTAAATCCCAGTACCAAAGTTTTTAAGACTTTCCAGATGTAAATTCTTTATGTAAAATTAATGTTCTTTATAATTAAAAAATAATGAACCTGCTACTATTCAAATGATTTATGAAGATGAAGATAAATAGACTGCTTAATCTGAACCACATTGGAATTTGTCTCTGTTCTTTATATGATAAACATTTAATAGAGCAAATTTATCCTTGAATTTGAATAATGAAATGGAAATGTATTTCCATCTTAACCAAGCTTCTAATGATAGCTGTGATTATAGAGTTATAATAGTTTGGTCTAATGGAGAGTTAAGAACAAATCCACTAGATGATCTAGTTTTCCAGTAATACGAATTTCCAAATGAAATCTATCAAAATAAATTTGACGTTCCTAAATCTCCACTTTGATTTTGTTAATGTTGCATTGTGATCCCATTGATATTGGGGGCGGGGGGATCTGTGTATTTCACAAAGGCTTATTTATGCTTTTTCCTAAGAAAATCCTTTTTCCTACAAAGATCTTTCATTTAAGACCTTCTAGGCAACAGATCAATTTCACATCTTATCTGGCTAACAAACCAGGCCTTCAACAAATAAAGATATTAACCTCAGAGAAAACATTCCGTAAAAGATTATTTTGTTGTCTGAGGGCTGTGAAGTTTCGCTTAAATGGATATTCCTATGATGAGTCCATTTAGAAAACAACTGGCTTCCAATGAACTTATTCTAATACAGTTGTATGGTAGGAGTGAATTACTTGGGGATCTATATAACACATATTTTAGGTTACTTTTCGTAAATGCTTGAAAGGCAAACATTTCTCACCAATCTTGCAAGAATCTTCATAATCTTGCAAGGCGCTTCGTAAGATTTTAAGTTATTTCTCTGTACTATCCTTAGAAAATACAGAAGATTGTTCCCAGTTGTTCCTCAAATAATAAATGGAATCACTGAAGATGGGAGACAGTGAATGTTCATGAAATAATCTTTTTTTTTCTTTTACTCATGAATAGCTTTCCACCTTATTTATTTTGTTCTATCAACAGTCCGCCCAGATTTGAGAAAATTAAATTTCCAATAAGGATACCATTACCTTCTTGTCCACTGCGGCTCCTTCCAAATACTATATTAATTTATATAACATATAAATTAATAATCTATAAATTTCTGCTATTTCAAATTGCATTCAAGGTTTTGTTCATGAAATGGAAATTTTAAGTTTTCTGTCAGTCAAATAAAGCGAAAGAAGGGCAAAAACCTATTAGCTGGAAGAAAGGTAAACTTATCAAGGGGCTGAATGAAGGCTAAAGTAACCATACATAAGGATGCCAGGAGAAAATGACAGTCAGATGTATATAAAACAATCTTTTATTTTTTAATTCCAGCAAAGAGATCCCTCTGCAAGGTTGCGATCTTGTAGTGTAACTGATGCTGTTGCTGAACAGGCCCATTTATCACTGGTAAGTAGACATTCCTCGCCTGTTGTTTTTGTTTGCTTGTTTAGCAAATTTCAGGAATGCGTTTGTGTTAAAATGTTTTTGGCTGCATAGGAAAGTTATTGTTGTTGTTTTTTGCTATGGGTATCAATACCCAGTTCTAGGAAAGAGCGGTTAATCAAAAGGCTAGTTAACTTCAATAAATGCGTAGCAAAAATATTCTTTCTACTGGCTGGAGAAATCTTTTTTGTGATGGTAAGATCATCACTTCGCTACATGGACTCAGATCTCAGCCATCCTTGAAATATAATGCTGGTGGGTTTTTTTTCCCCATTGGGATGGTGATGATTTAAATAACAGTATAATGTACTGTATTTCCATGTGTGCAAAAAATTGTTGCCCTTGAGTTGAGCTCCCACTCCTGGTGGCTATTATGTACTTATCTTCACCATAATACAACAATATTTCCAGTCCAGTTTTAAAAAGTGTTCAAAAATGGGTTGGCCCAACTACATTGGCCATTGGCCATTTCTGCTTAGCTTCCAAATGAAAAGAAGATCAGCCATGGGTTTATGTTTATGAATGAAGGCAGTTTCAATTAAAAACCAGGCACTTCTGGATTAGTGATTTTAATGTAGTTAAAATCTAGGGGATGCAGGACTCAGTGGTTAAGACGCTGAGCTTGTTGATCAGAAAGGTTGGCAGTTCAGCGGTTCGAATCCTTAGCGCCCCATAACGGAGTGAGCTCCTGTTACTTGTCCCAGCTTTTGCCAACCTAGCAGTTCAAAAGCATGTAAAAATACAAGTAGAAAAATAGGAACTACCTTTGGTGGGAAGGTAACAGCGTTCCGTGTGCCTTCGGCGTTTACTCATGCCGGCCACATGACTACAGAGACTTCTTCGGACAGTGCTGGCTCTTTGGCTTTGAAAAGGAGATGAGCACCACCCCCTAGAGTCAGGAACGACTAGCACATATGTGCGAGGGGAAACTTTACCTTTAGTCATTTCTGCAAAGATAGAAATGTAGGAATCGGCTAGAGAGGGGGGACTCAGGATATGGTCTCAAGAGAGCTTATAAGGAAAGGGGATATTGATAAGGGAATTTGTAAAGAGGCAGAAAGAACATTTCTAAAGAGTTTTTCTGTCAAACTTTATGAAGCCTGTCAACCATCTAAAAAGTATCTTTTTTAAAAAAAAATCTTATGTATTCCATGTAGAGTGGCCTGGAATAAAAGTGGAAAATCAGGGAAAAATTGTTTTTTTCTGGGTTCCCCCCCAAAAAACCTGTTTGAGGGGGGGATGGGTTTTCCCCCAATTTTTCCATTTATGTTCCAGGCCCTTCCTATCTCTAATTCCACAATACTGGAGTTGGGATCTTTTGCGATTTAAAGAATTGTTTTAAATGGTTGATTCGTTTGAATTTTCCTTTGCTTTTCTCCTTCTAAAATGAACACCATTAATTGTGCTTTATTTCACCTGGGGCTGGAGGCACCACATTTTATTTTGGGGATAATTCCCCCCCCACCCCCACCCCCAGGTCACATAATGGCAGTGTGGGCCTATTTTAGGAAATGCCTATCCATCAAGCTGATTTTGCAAACACAAAATAAAATAACTTCTTGCTTACTACGAAAAACCATATCTAGAAATGGTAGAAGAAGAGCGGGGTGGGGGTGGAGGGGCAGAAGCTTTATTCAAAATTATACACAAGAATCTGGTCAATTGAAGTTCAGTACTAAATTGGTGCCTGATAAGATCAATGGAATTTAAGAGAGGTTGGACTTGAATCATTTGTGACAATTTAAGGACACTTAGCTAATGACATGTTTAACTCTGCCAGCTAGCTTGCTTGCTCTTCTCCTACAAATAAGCCCAATTGAGCAGCTTGCTGTCATCATTTTTGCATCAATCCATTTTCAAATCCAGGCTCTCCCGTTTCCTTTTTATTTAGGGATGTATTTAAAATGTGTATGTCACCCTTGAAAAAGAGTTTTTCCACTCTAGTTATTTTCTTTAAAAAAAAGAAAAGATACAAAATTTCAGTGTATTTATCTTTGAAAATGTTTCATCAAGAAATAGTCATTGCTATGTATATTTTATCCTGAAACACATATTTTATATGCTTTGGGTAACTTTGGAGTTCACCGGTACAATACAAATAACAAAACAAAATACTATACAAAATATCATCAACAACAACAACAATAATAGAGTATTCTGTGATCTACTTCAACATGGTTTGAATCTCAATCCCATTGAACCTGTTTATTGTGGTTCAGTGCTAATTGAGCTGATATATGTTGCAGTCCAACATTTGAAGTGGAGCAGATGTTGTCCTAGATAGAAAAGATAAGGCTGGTTCACATCAGATATGGATGAAAGAAACATTTGCGCATTCCTCTTTCTGTGCAAACTTGAAAAATTCTCTGTTGCACGTAGGTCTTGGGTAATTCTTAATTAGGTCTCTGGCTTGAATCTCTAGATTGGGTGCTTTGCTGTAGTCCTCAATATGTCTTCCCTCACTTTAATCCATATGAAAATTATACTGCAACATGCTTTGTTCAGTTACTCTATCTTGTTTCTGCAAGGATTTTTTTCTGGGAATCCAAATTTCGTATTAACCTGGGGCAAATTTCACGGGCAAGAATATACTCTTCATTATTATAATCTGGGATTCCTGTATTTGATCGAACAGTTTTTTAAAAAAAAACTGCACAGCATTTTTCTCCTTTTAGCAGCTAAGATTTTTTTCCCCCTTGTTCTTCTGTGTTCTATTATGATTTTTTTTTTTCTGGGAAAATCATCACACTCAGCTTCTTCTTTTTCAGCTTGATTCTACCAAAATCTTTGCATTTGCTGTGGCCAAATCCAACTTGCTTCATTTAATTGTTCACGCTCCTATTGTAGGTACTGTCTTGGTGTCCTCTGCAGGGGAGAAAAAATTCATGATCATGGACACATTGCCTTCTCTTTTCTGGTGCCTGCTCTATATATATACATACCCATCCACTATGGTAGCAAGGAATTCTGTGATTTGCAGTCTCTACATATTTAGTGAGGGCTAGTATGTAGATAGGCAATAGAATGATGTGGCTAAATAGATAGATTAGATTAGATTAGATTAGATTAGATTAGATTAGATTAGAT